AGTTTCATAGTTAAACATATTAAGGACAGAGATCCTGCATGGGGAGCATGAACCCAGTGACTCCCATTGTTGATTTAATAGTTGGCACTCTTATTTATGATGTCAGCAATCACCCGAGGCTCTTGCTATGAGCTGTCTAGGCTATGGAAGCCCCTTGAGTTCACCAACTCTGAATTTGTTTAGTCAAGGCCGTATCACAGTGGAGGTTCCTTCCCCCCTTCAGAGAAAGGCGCCTCTCTCCTTGATTGCCTGATCCTTCTGCTGGGGTCTTGTTCACCAGGATCTTTCATTTAGATTGTTTTTTGCCACCGTGTCATGGCTTTCTATGCCTGTGAGACTCTCATGGACCTTTTAGTCAGATCCGAATGTCCCAAGGGTTGATTCTGAGGCAGGAGTGCTGTTTCGGGCATTTGCCATTCTATGAGTCTGCTGTGTGTCCTGTTTCCCCTGCAGGATCATTCTCTCCCTTTTGATTCTATCTTTCATTATTTGCTTACACTGGTCTTATTTGTGTAATCTCTTCGACACTTACCCTATCTTTTTGATCAGTTGTGTATTTATACTTATCACTTTACCAAGTGTGCTGGCATTGGTACCTGCCTCCTTGGTAAGGTTGAGTTGAAATCCCCTGGCACATTTCTAGGTCTGAGTGAGTATGTGCCTGGAGTATGTTTTATACTTTTGGAAACATAGCATGGGCTCAAGATGACTTAGTGCACTTGGCGTGCTCGGTGTGCTTGGTGGAACACACAGTGTTGTGCAGTGCCAGGATATTTGGGTTGCTCTCGTAAGAAAGCCTGAGTGATAGCTTTCTTACCTCTGGCAGACAATACACTTAATAGATAGCAATTTTGCAACCTAGCATTATAGAACAAATATCTCAATCCCTTAAGCAAAAAGAAACAAGTGCCTTACTAAAATATGGCAATATTAGACTGGTTTAAACCTTCATAACAATATTATAAGTGAAAAATGTGAAAAAGCAATAGTAACATAGCTAGACTGAATAGCTAGCTATCATCCTAGTGCTACTTAACAGATTTATAGTGAAAGAATCTACCTACCATGGTAAATAATATGTACATCGAGGGAAATGTAGCCAGAGCTTCTATGTCAGATTGGCTTGTTCCCTTTTCTGTCCTTTCCTTTATAGACTCTGAGCCCCTTCAGGTATTACTTTCTGTACCCACAACTCTAATATCTATATTGATCCTGATATATGTCATGCTGACCTTAATGGGTAATAATTACACCTTCTGTCCAGACAGAAACTGTAAACAAAATGTCAGTGTCATGATCTCACATGCTTGTAGAATAATTAACAATTATACTTTGTGCCTGATGGAAACCCTCCTCTGGAACTACTGCATGAGAGCAGAACACTTGAATGCTAGACCAGATTTCCTGAGACCAGCCACTGGACATCTTCCTAAAGAAGCAATGGAACAAATCCTTCCAGGTAATCATTACCTAGCACCATACCTTGATCACCATATTTGTGTAAGTCTTGCTTTGATATTCTACTATGAATTTGTATGTTTGACAAATTTTGTGTATAAAAGACATAGAACTCAACAATCCATACTCAACATTGCCTGAGATATACTTACCTTTCTCACATCCTTCTGTGTTTCCATTGCTTTCTGAGATATTATAGTATATAATCTTCTTCTGATTCTTCTTTCTTGCTTTCCTTACTACTATTGCTGCTAAGCCACTTATAATTCATTATGCAATCCCTAGAACAAATCATCTTGAGTAAGGGAAAATGATAAAGGAAATAGAAATGCACTTCTGTACCCTCCTGAAAATCCTGGTGTACCATATGACATAAATAGACCAACTTCCACTCCAACAGACATTCAGATTCCAGGACTGGCAGAGCAGATTCCAGAATATATAGAATATATATGTAATATGTAATATATATGAGAGATATAGATATAAATACACACACATTACAGTATGCTGTGAACTTTGGCAGGTCTTATTGCTTGGGTTCAAAATGACTGTCATTACCAGAACAAGATCTGGACCTGATGCAACTGGTGATGGAGCCCTGCAGGAAGAGCCAGAAGCCCAACTAGTTGGTGACTCCTTTTGGCAAGATAGGCAGAGACATTGTGTCATGCCAAATTAGGCACATTGATGTCTACACCTCAACTGGCAGTTTTGCAGTTGTGTGACTGGTATCATGTCCAGAACATGGTAACAACCATCAATGCTTCAACTGTTGTTATTGTGATAACCAAGCTGAAATCATGGAACTCATTGGTACTCTAAGATAATATTGCTTGTACTTTGACCCAGTACTTTATAGAGGGGAGCCACATAT